TAGGTGGCAGACCTGTATATATTTGGAAAGCAAGAACTTTGATTTTGTGGGTGGGAACAGGAATCAAACTCAGAACCTCGTGCTTGCCAGGCAGGAACTGTGCCACTGAACTAAACTCCTGGCTCCTGGAAAGCAATAACTTTGGTCAGAAAGAGTATAATAATTCATTTTGAGTCAAAGTGTAAGGAAGCCTGAGAGGGGTTGAAATTTAAAATTTGTTGGATACAGTGGCAAATTTTGGATACAGTGGCAAATTTTGGATACAGTGGCAGACCTAAAATTATAGAGTTCAGGGCCTGGGAGATGGCTCAGTGGAATAAGCGCTTCCCTGACAAGCATGAGGGCCTGAGTTAAATCCCTGGTTCTGAAAAAAAAAAAAAGGAATTGAAAGTAGAGAGTTCAAACTTAAATGATTATTTTCCTGGAGGGTGACTGTTTTCAAAACTGAAAGCGCTAATTTATCTCTGTTGATACCTATGATATACATATGCTTTGGCTTTGATTCTTTTCAGTATTAGTTAATTGTACTCAATTGTTGTTTGTTTATATTTTCTTTTCCTTATATTTCAGGATTCTTCCACTGAAGAAGAACTCAGACAGTTGCTGGCTTCTTTACCTCAAACAGAGCTAGACGAATGTATCCAGTATTTTACATCCTTGGCTCTTAGCGAAAGCAGTCAGAGTCTGGCTGCTCAGAAGGTTTGTTCATTTATTTATTCAGAAAATATTTTTGATTGCTTACACTTTCTAAAATGTGCCAGAGGCCAACATCTAGAACCTTAAAATAGTCATACACTTAGTTATTAAATAAACATACTGATTTCTGTTTGTGTGCTGTGCCAGATATCTGGTAAATAAATAGTCATAGAAGTGTGGAAAAGCTATACAAGACACTTTAAGAGCCCTTAACTCTGTTTACAGGTCCTTTATAGCTTCAAAAGTGGAAACTCAAATCTTTAAGAATGAATGTATAGTAATAAGATTATAAGTATTACTGATACTTGAGTATATACTGCTAATGCTTCAATTGATATAGCTGACTCTATGTTCTTACTTAAGCTGTAGATTTGATTATTCAGCCTCTTACCTAGCATCTGAGCTTGGATATAACAGGAATCTCAAGCTTAACAAGTTGAACCCGCCCTCTCTGTAAGACTGTCTCCTCTCTCTTTCCCCTCGGTGAATGGCATAAGATCCACCTAGTAGCATACGTTACTGACTAGGAACCCTGCTCAGTTTTTTCCTTGCCTATCCAGGTCAGCAGCAGCTCTTGGAGTGTTCCTGCAGAGCACAGATTTAAGCTTGTTTTCCTCCTGTCTTGTTCCTGGCTCTTCTTCTCCACTGTATCCTGTTCTTTCATCTTGCCTTCTGTTCTTTACCTTCCTTAGTAATTTAAAAATCTTTTAGATTCTTGTATTATTTCACTTTTTGGTGGTATCTGTTCTTGTTTGTGCTGGTGACTTCCCCTTGATGGACAGAAAGTCAGTCATGGGTCATACATACCTTTAGACTGTGAGCTTATGTTAGGCTGAACTGATTGTTTCCTATGTGAATTGCTGTCATCATGCAGTACAGCTTTTTCCCTACAAAGCAAGTTTTTGTTTCTCCTGAATACCTCATAAATCCCTCTCTGTCCCCAGCCCTTCCCTCCCTCCCTCCCTCCCCTCCCTCTCCGATACAGGAAATAAAACCCAAGACCTTTGCACTGTGCTACATCTCTAGCATTTAAAAATTTAAAATAATTATCAGTAATTGTTTACAGTATGTAATGATTACATTTATCTTGGGTAGTTTATCCTGCTCTTGTGCCTTCCCACCATCTGTGGGTCACCTTCCCATTTGGAAAAGAGGACCGGGGAGATGGCTCAGTAGAATAAGTGCCTGCCGGGCAAGCGCAGGAGGTAAGTTCAATCCCCAGTTCCGCAAAAAAATAAATAAATAAATCATTTGGAAAAGAGCTCTCTTTTCCTTTTTTTTTTTTTTAAATTTTGAGATGTAATCTTGCTAAAGCATTAATTAAGTTTCTTAGGCTGGGCTTGAATTTGTAGTCCTCCCAGACTCTGGAATTAGCAGTGTACACCATCATACCAACTGAGTTTCACTTTTATAAAAATAGATCTTTTTTTTCCAGAACTGGGGATTGAACTCAGGCCCCAAAATGATAAATTTTTATTTGTACATGTTTGTAGTAGCTGATGTTTCATTCCTTATGGGGAGTTGGTATATGTACATAACACACCTTAATTCTGTTTTCATCCTTTTCCTGTCCCCTCTTCACCACTTTACATCATTCCCATTTGAGAAAGTGCTATCTCCACACTTTCTATTATTTAACTTTTATTTTGCTCTTTATTTTAATTTTCCCACACAAGAGAAACCATGCTAATCTGATTTAGTTCACTTAATATTGTATTCTTAGGTGCATTGATTTTACTACAAACTATTCTCTGGTCTTTATAGCAGAGTACAGTTCCAGTGTGTATAAGTACATTTGCTTTTATCCATTCATCTGTTGATGGACATAAAGGTGACTTCTAAGATTTAGCTACTATGAATTGTGATGCTATAAAACATGAGTATGGGGCCGGTGAGATGGCTCAGTGGTCTAAAGCACCTACTTAGAACAAGCTTAGCTAAAGCACAGGGACCGCGGTTCAATCCCCCAGCACCACATGCCAGCCAGCCCCGCCCCCTGGTGGGCTGAGCTGGCCACACACACACACACACACACACACTCACACAAAATTTAAAAAAAAAAAAAAAACAAAAAACATGAGTATGCATTTATCATTGTAGTGCAATATCTTTACTTTTTTTGAGAAGATACCTAAAAGGGGAATAGTGGCTGAATGGAATTTGAGGGATCTCCATACTGATTTTTGTAGCGGTTGTACCAGTTTACATTCCCATCAGCAAAGTAGAAGGATTCTTTTCCCTTGCTCCCCAGCAGCCTTACCAGCATTTGTTACTTGGTACTTTATGATAGCCATTCTTTCTGGAGTAAGATGGAGTCTTAATTTTTTTTTAAATTTGTATTTATCTAATGGTCAGAGATATTGAATATATTCTCATGTATTTATAAGCCATTTGTACGTACCTATTGCCTGTTATTTATTGCATCTTTTATTTTGGAGAGGTCTATTTTTTGAGTTCTTTTTTAAAAATTTTATTTATTTGATTTTTGTATTTTTTAGGAAAGGGTCCACAGGATGTTCAGGGTCTCACTAGTAGACCGGACTCATAGACATCCGCCTGTTTACAGCTTCCCAAGAGCTGGGATTACAGGTGTGCACCTCCATGCCCAGTCTCAATTGCTGTCTCATTGTGCCCCGGAGGCGAGGCCGGCATGGCAGGCCCAGGAATCGAGCCCCTGGGCCCTGCTCCTGCTTGCAGATGCTTTAATCCTCTGAGTTATTTGGCCAGCCCTAAGAACAGTTTTTGAAGCAGTTACTAGTACTCTTCTGATGATTTTACCTGTTTCATTTCTAATTGGATATGTGTCTTCTCTTTGCTTTTTTCGGCATAAGATTAACATATATATGTATGTATATGTATATATGTATGTATGTATGTATGTATGCATTACAAGGTCTACAGGGTCTCAATGTAGATTGGACTCATAATGATTCTCCTGTTTTCAGCCTCCCAAGTTCTGGGATTACAGGTACGCGCCACCACATCTAGTCTTAATTGCCATCTCAGCACACCCTGGGAGTGGGA